GTTGGCATCATCTGGAAGCTTGCTTTTTAGAAATTAAAACACTGAAGCCTGAGTCCAAGCTTTTGAAGGAGAAGCATCATTTTAACAATATATCCAGGTGATTTCCTTTTTTTTTTATTTTTAAAAAATTTTTGAGAGAGCATGAGCAGGGGCAGAAGAATAGAGAGAGAATCTTAAGGGACATGGGGCTCTATCCCATGATCCTGGGATCATGACCTGAGCCAAAATCGAGTCAGACGCTCAACCTACTGGGCCACCCAGGCGCCCCTCCAGGTGATGTCTATGGACATTAAAGCTTCAGAAGCACTAGATTGGTGGCACCTAGTTGTCTAATTGTCTAGAGAGTGTCAGCCACACCCAGTGAGGTCCCAGTTCCTCACTACCTAAATTTATTTTGGATGTTCCATGATGACCAACATCTCATTACTCATACTAATGACATATATTTATAGACCAATTAACAGGGCACTTTCACATACATAATCTAATTTGACCCCAACTACAATCTTCAATTTAGAACAAAGTGCTTTCTGCAAAGAGCACAAATTCAATTCCACCAATGTGAAGAGACACGAGTATAGCTTCCTGAATTGTTTTCAAAGATGAGCTTACTCTAAGCCTAAAAATTCATTTGAAGTTATTTTCAAATTTAACAACATCAATACTATTCATTCAAATATAGTTTGTTGTTATATTCCAGAATATTTTAGAAAAAAAAACATAATAAAGTAGTGGTGTGGATTTGGGGGTGGATTGGTTTTATTGTTAAATCATAAAAATCTAGATCTGGAAAATGCGTTAATAAAACTACATTAAAAGAGGTCAAACAACTTGTTCAAGATAGATTCACAAACAAAACCACATACAGAATGATCTGATCAATCAATAAAGCATTTTTAAAGGTCTAATTGTACCTGTACTGTCTGAGGTTCTAAGTAAAGAAATAAAAACACTTGCTATTAACTCTATATCAGTGTTGTTTACAGTTCACCCTTTATGCATCAGAGAGAATACTAAATAATAAAAGATCCATCCTCATCTTTAAGGAATTTTTATTTTCAGCTTAAGAAGAGACTAAATTGAGAGATCAAAGAAACAGGTAAAATTACAGGGCAGAATATGGAAAAGAGCTATACAATTTAATATTGTATGTCTCAAAGTGATGTGGACAAGCACAATGAGGAGGGATTAGTAAAATAAAACTGAGATAAACATTTATTTAATGGCTTTGTAGTTGTTTCCTTTTGGGCCCACCACTTGTTATTGGGCCCACCACTTGTTATCGGGCTGCCAAAAAATAAAAATAAAAAAAAATAAAGACTACAAGCAGGTGGGTAGAACAAAAAGGCATTGGGAAAAAAAGCAATGAAGAAGGTGCCTGCAGAGATGTGGCACTTAGTGACCATTCTACATGGAGGGTCTGTATGAAGTGAACTACAGATAAGGAATCGATACACTAAATACTGATATTTTAACCCTCCCACCAGGAAGTCGCTCACTCATTTTTAGACAAGTTATTTTCAAGGGATCATATCTGTTAAATTGTACTACTTAATCTTCTTTGGAAAGCCTGTGGATCATTGGGATTCTACCAACATGTCTCCCTGAAATTTAAGAAACCCTCTTCTGGACCAGAAGTCAGACAAGAGCTTTGCAGAGTTCTTTTTTTTTTTTTTTAAATGTTTATTTATTATTGAGAGAGAGAGAGAGAGACAGAGCATGAGCAATGGAGAGGAAGAGAGAGAGGGAAACACAGGCTCTGAAGCAGGCTTCAGGCTCTGAGGTGTCAGCACAGAGCCTGACGCAGGGCTTCAACCACAAACCGTGAGATCATGACCTGAGCCAAAGTCAGACACATAACTGACTGAGCCACCCAGGTGCCCCAAGAGCCTTGCAGTTTTAATGGGTTGCTTTTTTGTGCCAAGACTGTGCTGTCACAGAGATGCTAGGAGCCCTGTAATAGTTTCAAACCTCTTGTGTGGAGTCATAGTGAACTCATAAACAAAGCCCATCTTTGGCTTCAATAGTTTATCACTGAGTTCAAGTACACAGCTCCTCGAGCACAGCAACCTTACCTTACCTGTAACCCAGTACAGGTTGTAACAACCCTCTCCCTCCTACACACACAGAGTAGCCACCAGCGTGTCACATCTCCGAGGGCATCTTCTCCATCGCTTATTTCCCACCCCTTCTTGGAAATGGGCTTGAACTGTTCCCTTTACTTCTCTGTTCTGCCCACCCACCCACAGTCATTCTCTTTTGGCAGCTGGAAAGGACCTGGCACTCCTGATGTAACTACCAACAGCTTTCTGCTTCACCAGATTGGGTTCTGACACCATGCTCTGCTGCCAAGGGCCCTGCCTCGCTCCAGCTGTTCCCTTATTTCTTCTCCAGCAGCGTGACACCCACAGTGAGGGGCGGGGGAGAACTCATCCCCCAGCATCCCTGTTTCTATCCTTGGGCTCCACTGGACGTTCTAAAACACCCAACACAAACATGTGCTTCTGAGTAAAGGGTTTTTACAGAGTTTGGGCTAATCAAATGAGCACAATTTGTTTTGTGCTTTGGGACAGAAGGAACCTTGTTAACTGGTATCACAAGTCTTGAGCCAAAATAGACGCTAGAGCCTGAGGGGAGTGGCCACAGGGTGACAAGGCTGCTTTCATGAGCCACATGCTTAAGCCTGCCACTGGCACAAGTTGCTAGACAGACCTTGGATCTCTCTCTGATTTTTATCTATGGCACATACAACATCTCCACAAAATTAAGGGGGGAAAAATCCCACCACTCTAACTATAGTCATTGGTTTAGGTTTCATATAATTCTTCCCAGTGCTTATTGCCCTAGATTAATTTTTATAGAAAGTTAATCAACTGGCTTGTAGGTCCTTCAGAATAAAGCTAAAAGTGTTGCCATTTAAAGGCACTCCATCAACATAAACCCTGATCACCTTCTCTGTGCAAAGCAGAGCTTCAAACTGCCTGCTGAAAATCTGATTGCCAAAATATTGACTAATCTCTTACAGAAAAATAGAATGCACTGAGCAGCTTGTGAAATACAATTTGGATGGCTAAATATATTGTGGGTTTTTTGGGATTCTGTAAAGATTCCCAATTCTGAACACATTTTTTTATGCATCTTAAATTAATGGACTGGCTCTATGAAACTTGGTACTTTGCTTCACCTTGACTGACTTTAGTATTCTTCATATTATTGTAGATGATGAAAACACCATCTGTCCTTCTAGAGAAGGCTTTGAAACTATTTTGAATAAAGAAGGGTAGTTTCATTGAAGTTTTACATTATTTATATAATGCTGGCAAAGGTTCTGAAAAATAATTTTAAGTTTTCTCATAAAAAGGATGTATGGTTATTTAAAATAAAATGATATTTTCTAATTTAAAGATCTTAAAACTTTGTTTCAGAGAACGTGAAGCCTCAAACTTGAAGTCTGTCATAATGATGTTAGTGGTCCTTTTATGCAAAATATGATTAGTAATATATTTTGTTAGGCATAGTTAACACTCACAGTTCCCCTACCAAGAAGGAGAAAGGCATCAAGTTAATAAATGTTTTACCTTTGGCAAGTTACTTCATTTATCTAAGCATCAAAATCCTCATCTACTCAGAGTTGTTGGGAAAAGCAAATGTATGGAAGTTGCTTTGAACAGTGCCTAGAATACAGTAGGAATGCAGATGTGACTGTGAAGATTACTTCTGCTAGGTAGCACAATGTAGGCTTGTGATGCCAGGTAAATACACTTCCATTTTCATCCTGGTCTTGCTTTTCTCTCATTTATTCAACATTTACTAAGTATCTGCCATGTTTCAGGCTCAGGCGCTATACACAGAAAAGTGAATGAAATAGATTCTCCTCATGGAACTCTAGGAGAGACATGGGCAGGCAAATAGACCACCTGAAATGCATGCCATAAATGCTCTAGAAGCATATAGAGTGCGGACTCATCCCAGTCTGGGGTTTCAGGAAAAACTCCTTCCTGAAACATGAAGAATGGTTAGGAGTTGGCCAGATAGAAGATGTGGGGTAACAAGGGATACAGAAATGCTGAGGCATAGGAGCACATGTACCCCAATGTTCATAGCAGCACTCTCCACAATAGCTAAAACATGGAAAGAGCCTAAGTGTCCATCAACAGATGAATGGATCAAGAAGATGTGGTTTATCTGTACCATGGAATACTACATGGCAATGAGAAACAATGAAATCTGGCCATGTATAGCAACATGGATGGACCTTGAGGGTGTTATGCTGAGCGAAATAAGTCAGGCAGAGAAGGACAAATATCATATGTTTGCACGTATAGGAGGATTAGGAGGAACTTAACAGAGGACCAACCAGGAGAAGAAGGGGGGAAATGGTGGGGGAAAGGGAGAGAGGCAAACCATGAGAGACTCTTGAATGCTGACAAAAACTGAGGACTGATGGATGTGGGGGGGAGGGGGGGATGGGCATGGAGGAGGACACTTGTGGGGATGAGCACTGAGTGTTATGTGGAAACTAATTTGACAATAAACTATTTGTAAAAAAAAAAAAAAAGAAGAAGATGTGGGGTAAAGTATTTCATGTAGAGAGAATCCCAATGCAAATGCCTGGAGGTGAAAGAGAACTTGGAGCCTTTGAGTAACTGAAAATAATTGAATAAAGTTGAAGATTAGACTTAAAAAAGTGTTTACAGATGGGACTGGGAAAATAAACAGGGACTAAATTATAAAAGGTATTGTAAACCATGGTGTAGAGTTTGGAATTTTTCTTAAAGCAATGTGAAGTCATAGAAGGGCTGTATGTAAAACATCATGGTTGGCTTTGTTTTAGAAGCTTCATACATAATGAGGAAAATGAAGCTGAAGAAGGGAAGACTGGAGACTGGGAGGCTAAGTTGGGAGCCAATACAATAATTTAAAGAAAAGACAATAGTGACCTGAATTATGGTCATGACAATGGGGCTGAAAAGAACAAATGGGTTAGGTGTTTAGTAGATAGCCTCAGCTGGAGGTGGTGATTTATGAGAAGAAATGGATGTGATAAGAAAGGAGTCATGCTTATGGGATAGATGAAAATTGCCATGATCTGAAGAGGGAGGATTTATTTGTGTCCTCCTTCTATATGAAATGACTGAACAGAAAATTAATTAATTAAAATAAAACATTGGCAATATTTTCATTAAAAAAAAAAAAGAAAGGAGTCAAGATTGATACCCTGATTTACTGGCTACTGAGGTGCTGCTATTCACTAGATAGAGTGTACGAAAAACGAAGTTTGTGAAGAAAGATATTAAGTTCAGCTGAAGACACAGTGAATTTGAAATGTCCACAGAACACCTAGAGAAATTCAGAATCCAGAAGAGGTCTGGTTTGGCACAATAGCTTCGAAATAATTGGCACATAGCTGGTAATTGAAATGAGGGAAGTGGAAAGCTAGAGACAGTGTAAAAAGGGAGAAATTTTCTGAGACAGAATTCAATGAAATACTGACACTTGAGAGATGAACTGACGAAGAGGAATCCCCAAAACAGACTGAAAAGGAATGGTCAGGGATGTCTGGGTAGTATAGTCAGTTAAGCATCTGAATTTGGCTCAGGTCATGATCTCACAGTTCTGAGTACCAGTCTGCCCCATCGGGCTCTCTGCTGTCAGCATGGAGACTGTTTCAGATTCTCTGTCCCCCTCCCTCTACCCCTCCCCAACTTGCACACATGTTTGGGGGTTCTCTCTCAAATAAACATTAAAAAAATTAAATCCACAAACACACAGAGAGACACGTGCATAAACACACTCACATGGATTTTTTTAATTTTATTTTTTAATATTTATTTTTTGAGATAGAAAGCATTGGCAGGGAGGGGCAAAGAGAGAGGTGGACAGAGGATTGAAGGCAGGCTCCATGCTGACAGCAGAAAGCCCAAGGCAGGGCAGAACTCATGAACCAGGAGATCTGATCTGAGAAGAAGTGGGATGCTCAACCAACTGAGCTACCCAGGTGCCCTTACAGGGACTTTAAATCCCCAAATAATAGATTCGTTTTCCCCTAAGATCCACCAAGGTCTGCTCTGTCTTGTTTTCTTTCTCTTACCACCCTCATCCTTTGTAGTTACACTACAACTCATCCTCACCTCTTAGCAGTTCAAACTAAAGGAGGGAAGAGAACAGGGGGTGGGAGTGCAACCTCAGGTTCTGTTACCAAGGCTAAACCATTGTCAATGGGCCCCTAATTGTAACTTGTGTACCTGAACTTCCCAATGGAAGCAACTTATTACCATCTTAAGTGTACATTGTAGAAATGAAATACAATTTGACCAACTTAAGGTATGAAGTTTAATTTTCATCTCCTAACAATGTCATTGATCTTTAGAAAATTTAAGAAGAAAGACAATGCACTATATATTTCAATATTTCAAAACTTTTACTACTAGCTTTTGCTATAAACAATACCACCTAGAGAGAAAACAAAAGTAATCAGAGCTTAATTTCTTTGCTATATTTAAATAATCAAAAATAATTAAGAAAAAATGCAGTTGGAAATAGAAAATGACCTATTTTTAAGGTCCAGCTATAACTCAGAAATTCAAATGTATAAAATATCTAATTGGTTGAGGGGTTCAATGCACAAAAATTTTGCATTTTTAGTTTTTCTTTACTCTTTTAAAACATATGGTTTAGTTAAAAGAAATAGGATTTATTTAGATAGCAGAAGAATGTCAGATTATATGACTCATATCCTACCTAAATTTTCCTGTTGGAAAATTTCCTCTAACAGATGAGTAATCTAATTTTATGCTGGATCAGCCCCACAATCTGATACAGTTATGGGTTTGAAATAGAAGTGATTTGCTAGTTGTGTGATTCAAATGCTTTTCTAGTATAACACAGTCATCCCATTACTTTAACAAAAAATTGAAACTAGGTATAAAAAATTTCTAATGGTCTTCATCACTAATGAAGAATGTCAGTAACGTGAACTAGATTTTCATCCTGAAGAGAACTAGAAGTTCCCCAAGTTCCAAAAATGCAAAGAAGGCAAATATGTAAATGATGAGCTTGACACTGATTGCAAGCAAAATTCTAAAATAGATTCTCAAACAGATGGTCTGTGGGCATTTAGAAACATAAGAGGTGACCATCAGGAGCCAGCATGGGCTCAGTACAAACAAATTTTGCCAGGTAATCCAATAGTGTTGTTAGACTATAATGGATTTGCAAAATTGATTAGTATATACAAGGTTACCTAAAAAGGTGAAAAAGAATTGAATTATTCAGCCATAATAAAGTATGCATATAGATTATTTACTGTGATATAATCTACTATGACTTTGCGTAATCAATCATTCAACAAATATTTATTGAGCACTTACACAGTGTCTTTCACTTTGCTGAGTGCTTACACACAACCTCTTTTAATGTAGTTCTACCTATGAGGTAGAAGCTGTTATTACAGAGCCAGTAGAGTAGAAGGTTTTAAGTACACAAACTTGGAGCCACAGGATCCAATCAAATCCTGGCTTTGTCACTTAAATGGCTGTGTGACTGTGAGAAAGTCACTTGATCTCTTTCTCAGTTTGCTCATTTGTAAAATGGGGACGATAATAGTAACCATTTTCTAAAGGGTTTGTTAAGACTGAATGAGCTAATGTATGTAAACATCTTAGAAAAGTATATGGCACATAACAAATGCTACTAGAGTGTCAGCTATAACAACTCCATTTTAGAGAGGTAGGATGATATGTCCAAGACACCACTGTTTCCGAAGCCAGGATCTAAACCCAAGGCTGCCCGATGCCAAAGTCCATGCCCTGAACCACTATAAAAATTACATTTAAAAAAATGTGTGACTTTCTTAGATGATTTCAAAGAACCCCTGACACCTCCTTCTTTATACCTCTGTTTTAACAACGTACCTTATACCTAAGGTGTCTGGAAAGATATTTCTGGACTCCTGTGCTGAAAGCTACTTAGGAAATTGGATTTACAAATTTGAAGGCTAGAGCCCTCACATTATAAAAGGCAGATCATTTTATCTCTGGAGAGTGATATGCCTAATAAAGGATAAATATTGTAATCTAGAAAACTTACTAAGAACAGTAGCTAATGTTTATTATTGTTAAATAGGCTGAGGCCAGTTTTAAGTGCTTTTCACAGATTATTTAACCCTCATGACCACTTTACGAGAATGTAATTATTAGCCTCATTTTTTTTTTTTCCAGAGAGGTTTACAATATGCCCAAGGTCACCCAGCTAATAAGCTACAGAGCTGGAATTTAAATCATGAGGCTGGCTCTGGAACCTAGGCTTTTTAAATTCCCTCTCATAAAACCACATCTAGCTGTGTATGCACAGAACCTCAAAGAGGTGGTTTGTTTCCACCAACCTCTCTCACAGCCTATTTGGTCATTTGGAATACTAAAGTCAACTTACTTAATCAGTCATTCCCCACATTTCCAGGTTTCCTCAAATGCTGATGCATCAGGAGGCTCCTTTCTGAGAATGTTATCTGCACAGTAACCTTTTGGCCACTCTCTCTCACCCAAACCTATTACTTGTCATTGCCAGGCATTATTCATTTGCTTGTTTGTTGATTATTTCCTGTCCACTTGTCTGTATAACGTAAGCTCCAAGGAACTTTTTCTATTTTGTTTACTATGATATTCCAGAGCTTAGACTAGAGCCTGGTACATAGCATGCTCACAAAAATATTTATATAAATGACTACATTCTTTTAGATTCTTATTTGCTACACAATCTAATTTTTATTAGTAAAATCAGAAACAAAAATTAAAGACAAATGGTACCATCATACATAATAAATAATCTCTGTTAATTTCAGCCTTCCCATCTAGTCTCTGTTTATAAGCAGATACGGGTATTTCTTTTTACAGATATGTACTCATAACAGATATTCCAATATACATCTACCTTTTCAGAGAATATTATCAGAACAGATTTAAGAAACTCCACTGCTGAATGGATTTTTGCTTGTCAATGACTTTCAAAAACTATATGTTCAGGCCTCAGTTTTTTTGTTTTCAGTAAAAGTAAAGTTGGCCAAGGCTTTTACATCTGCATATTAAGTCATTTTACCCTACATTTTATATTGCCATAGATGAAAATTATCCTAATCCAGTAGTATTTAACTATAGCAAAATTCCTGAGATAGAAACCATGCTTTCTTTTCAGTTAACCTCTTAGAGATCATCAAAAAAATTCCTGGTCATGGAGAACGCACATTTCAGTGATACAGAATTAGCATTTATGTACTACAAATTCCTTCACAAAATATTTTAGCATCATTTTTATAAACTCGGAGGTTGCAAAATATTAAATGTAGATTTTCTTTGTACTATCAGCAAGATGAGGTCAGTGGAAATAGGAAATCCAGAAGAAATGCTTACCTAAGAGTTTGTGCTAGAAATTGTATTAGCTTTTTATTGCTTCTTAGCAGCTTAAACAATACACATTTATGATCTCATAGTTTCTGCACGTCAGAAATCCAGGCACAACTCAGTTGGGTCTGCTTAAAGCTGCAATCAAGATCAGCCAGGGCTGAGGTCTTATCTGAAAGCTCAACTCGGGAAGGCTCTGTTTCCAAGCTCACTTATGTGATCACTGGCAGTATTCAATTCCATTTGGGCTGTGGATTGTGGGCTTCAATATCTGTAAGGCTGTTGGCCAGAGGACACTCTTACTTCCTTGCTATATGGGTTCCCCTAACATAAAACTTGCTTCATCAAAGCCAACAAGGGAAAGAAACTCCTAGAAAGATGGAATTTACATCCTCTTGTAATCTAATCACAGGGGCATCATCCCCTCAGTGTTAAGGTAGCCTATTGGTACAAGGCAAGTCACTCAAAGGGAGAGGATTATACAGGCCTTGAATACCAGAAAGTGGGGATCAATGAGGGCATCTTTGAGGCTGCCTATCACTGAAGTACTAACTCAAAACAATACTTTATTGCTTGTTAAAGAGACATGCCCACATGAAACCCCCTTTTTGTCTTGGCTGTCCATTATTACCTCTCTTGACAGTCACCATCATCTGGTATTCTCCCACTTCTGCTGAAACTGCTGCTTTTGAAACAATCTAAGACTTCCTTCCTAGGCAACTTTAGGTATAGGTAAACAAGGTGAAAACAAGA